CGACTAGTGAAATTGGAACTGGCAGTAAATTTGGAGGTGATATTGGATTTGGTAGCAGTATTAAAGGCGATGGTTTTAGACCTTTTGGAGGTGACCTTAAAAAACAGAGCAATGTTGTTTATTACTATTGGCGTTAAGCATTGCCTAAGTGACAATTACATGGTATTAAATGATATATCCATTTAAATGTAAAGTTTTATAACTAATTTAATTGAAACTATAAAGCATAGTCATTTATATTGGTGCTCTAACATCACTGATATTAGATAATATTATTCTAAAAAAACATGGTAGTTCTGGTGGTAGAATTCGAAAGGACGACAGATTTAAGATAATTGGACCTTGCTTATTTTTCGTTGTTGCATGGATACAAGACATCATGAATTAGCATACATAATAAGAATAACAATATTAAATCATTATCTTACTTTTACATATAGTGAATGTTACTAAATAATTTCTATATCAAGGGTAATACAAAGTCAATGAAATGTATGGTCGTGTTGTTCATTTTAATAAACATGTCAAATTGAAACATATAGTGGATTTTACTCTATTTCTTCTAATAAATAAATTTAAGGGAGAATTACGGCTGTGGTCCCAAACATTTGAGAAATTTGCCGACTTTATCTCAACTTTCAATTTATGCTACCAAGGGTCTCAAACCTTTGAGAAATCGCAAATGCAATCCAAAATGACGAAAAAGGGTAGTTCCACCATCAATTGACCTCAATAATGGAAAAAAAGGCGAATTTTGACCAATTAAACAATGGCATTTTCACCTAAAAATCATTTGGTCAGTTATAATATCACTCTCTCTCCCACTCTCTTTCACACTATGAACCCAAACAATTATCTTCTACAATGTCAACCTAAAATAGCCAACAATCTAATGAAATTCCAGAAGACATTGCATGTCACGTATGAGGCCGCCTTCCCAAACCTATAATATGGCAAGATTTTAAATCTGTTTCTAAATTTTTGTTGTAGACGTGTTTTCCTCACGTTGGGTTCCAAAGAGTGATCACGTAGTGCGTATTTCCATCATTTTTAGCATGCTATTGAGTAAGAATAGCATAAAATTTACAATATTTATTCGCACTACTTTGGCATTCCTTTCATTCAACTAAGGTTTGGTGTTGATGACAGTTTGTTGTTATGATTTTTTTGTCCATTCAAGTTATTTCACCGTAAAGCTATATTATGGTAGTCTATTACTCACAAAGACGCGAAATTTTGTATGCAAGCATGGGAAGATAGCATATCTAGGCGACTTGCACCCTGATTGATTTAATAGTTTTCTCTGAGACAATGCTGAGAAGATGCTAGACTATTTTGAGAAGATGAGGTATGTGTATAAGATTGAAAAGAAGAGATTTAATGAGGCATTGTTCTGGTTGGTGAAAGATTCAGACTTTATGAATGTAGTTAGGTTGCTTGGTGAGAATAGGCTTGCTGAAATGTGGTTTAAGCCCGTAGTTAAAGTGTTAGAATTGCTATGGGACGACAAAATAGCGCATGATATCTTAGAAGTTGATGTTGACACTGGTGAGGTGTTGGAGAAAGTGGAAGAAAAAGGGAAAGTAGATGTTGACAAATAGTTTGAGCAAAATGTATGCTATACAATGGAGGTTTATGATGATTTTCTAGAGGGCATGACTTGTATGATGTGAATGAGACTGAGAGTAATGGTGCAATGGTGCAACTGATGAAATAGAAGTGGATGCAGGGAGTTTAGTTAATGTTCCTACAAGTGAAGTGAGTGACTTACATGGAGATGAAGATCATGTACCAATAGGTGATGATAATGATGGTGATCGATCTATAGGTGAAGAATTAGTAGTAGATATGCATGACTATAATGAGGTACCTACTGCAGATCACAATCAAGAGGTACCCCACCCCTACAGATGACAATGAAGAGGGCCTATTAAGAGGCACCTGCTGCAGATCATAATGAGTCACTTGTTGTAATACAACATAAGGTACTTGCTAATGTATCCCTTGTTGATGAAGCTCTTGTCAAATGTCAAGAGAACTGTCCATGTGAGTTGTATACCTATCAACAACCAGACAAAAGGTTCAAGATGAACACATTTAGAGATGAACACACATGCACAATAGGTTGGTATGATAGAAGAGTGCATGATAGTTACTTCACAAAAAAGTATATAACGAAGTTCGAATTTGATCCAAAAATGTCTCTAAATAGTTTTATAGGAACGGTGAAGGAAGATTGCATGTATGAGATCTCTAAGCATTGATTACACAGGACAAAAGCTAAATGTGCAGAATTTTTAATGGAATTGTGGTTGAACAATACAAGATCCTGTGGGACTATGGTGAGGAGTTAAAAAGAACTAATCCTAGTAGTACAATGAAAATTGAAGGGCAATGTCATACATACAAAAGATTGTATATGTTCGGGGGCTTGCAAAAAAAGTTTTAGAGTTAGGTGTACGAATGTGATTGGTTTGGATGGATGTTTACTTGGCTACAGTTGGTATTGGTGTAAATAACTACATATTTCCTGTGACTTGGGCTATGGTACATGCGGAGAACAAATTAAATTAGGAGTGGTTCTTAGAACTTTTGACAATTGATATTAGAATGTATAATGCTAGGCTTAGACATTCATTTTTAACAAAGAAAAAGGCTTAGTGGAATCCATAAATTTGTTATGTAACGGTGCTAAGCATAGGTGTTGTGTAAGACATTTATACAACAATTTCATCGTAGTGCATAAGGGACTGACTCTGAAGAGCATGTTCTGGGCTATAGCAAGGGCAACAACAATACCAAAGTAGAGAAATGCAACGAATGAAATGAAAGATATGAATGGAGCAGTGTTTAAATGGTTCACTAAGAAACAAGCATCAAAGTGGAGCAGATCATATTTTAAAAATTATTCAAAATACGACATCCTACTGAATAATTTGTGTGAGGCATTCAACTCTTCCATATTGATTGCAAGAGAAAGGTCTATTATCTTAATGCATGAGAAAATAAGACATCAACAAATGTTGTGGATAAATGCCAAATGGGAAGCTGCACGAAGATGGGACCATGCTTTTGTCCCAGAATTATGAACATTGTTGAGAAAGCAAAGGCAGATGCAAGGTTTTTGAAGTCTGATTATGCTGGAAGTGAAAAGTTTGAGGTGAGCAATACGGATGGAATGAGATGGAGTGTGGACTTGATGAAGCATGAATGTGCATGTAGAAAATGGCAATTTATCGGAATACCTTGTGCGCTTGCAATGTCTAGTATACTATCAAGAAACATTGGCATATATGAGCATGTAAATGAATGTTACAACAAAGAAGCTTACCCGATATCCTATAGCCTAGTCATCCAACAAATGGCAGGTTTCGAGTTGTGGCTAGAGCTTGGAAAACATCCTCTGAATCCATCTATAAAGAATAATCGGGTAGGCAGACCAAAGAAGTTGAGAAAAAAGTTGTAAGTAGAGCCACTAGCAGGCACTAAAATAGCAAAGACTAGAATGAAGATGACATGTAAAAGATGTGATGGGACAAGCCATGACAAGAGAATATGTTCTGAAGCAAATACACAGACAACTCAATCACAGGGTAAGGAAAGAGAAATGCCTCTAAACAGCAGGAATTAGTGCCAACTTCATCACAAGGCAAGGACAAGAGAAAGACTTTTACTCCCGTTGAGCCACTAGCAAAGAAGAAGAAAAATGGACGAAAAAGAACATAACTTTTTGTATGAAGATCGTTTTGGACAAACTTTTCATATGATGAAGTTTTTGTATAACAAAATTTGAATTGATTTTGTATGATGAACAAACAAATTATGATGAAAAATGTGAATATTCCAATAAAAAATTGTTGTTGGTGTCTTTAGTTCGTGACCATTGTTGGATGATTGTGTTCTGGGTGCTTTGCTTGAGAAACAAGTTTGGAATAGATACCTACGCAATCGAACAAATATTCTGACTCAAGTAAAAGGATTGGGACATAAACTTCAGCTCCTTAAAAGGCTTGGGATTTGTTTTGTAACTCATTTAAAAGGTTTGGAATTATATGTGCATTCAAATACAAATGTTTGGAACCTACGCTATGACATAGTATAAGGTTTTAGCACTTATCTATGACTAATTAAAAACGTTTGAGACCTACAATGCACCATCTACAATAGGTTTTCAAATATATTTTTATCTAGTCATAGAACTTTCTAATGTTTACCTTCTTAATCACTTAGATTGATTCCGTGACTCTAACAATTGACAAAGCTCATTTGGCTCATTATATGCTTATGTGGCATAACTGTAGACATTATTCGTCCAACTCGAGGATTTTTTATATGAAAAAAGTTGATTTTTGGTAAATAATATCTATTTTGTGTTGTCCGATCATGGACATTGTGTTTGAACACGTGCTATGTTTTAAAGGTGTCATGTTGATTTATTGGACAGTTAATGTCCACGGTCAAATGACATAAGCATAATTGGGCAAAATCAACCTTGTCGTTAGTTTTTGTGGATGAAGTTGATTTCAGGGACTAACATGGTAAACTTTATAAACTAAAGTGACTATTTATTGATGTTTTAAACTTTAGGGACCATTTGCAAACGTGCCTGTAAGTCCAGTGAAGAACCAAGGTTTTAACATACAAAATGTCCATAAGGTGAACGCAGCAGCAATGACTATGCTAAAATGGACAAATGGTCGATAAGGTAAGAAATGAAAGTAGTGCCAACTAAGGATAATTAAGGGAATGACAACTGAGATGGTTAAGGTCATGAATTGCATGGGACTTAAGAGCCCCCTTCTATAAGAGTGACACAAGTAGTGGTATAAGTCAGAAAGGGGAAGGGGAGTTAGATCAAAATTCACAAAATGCACATGGCCTATTGTAGGGCTAAGGTTCTCGTTGCCTTTTATATTCCTGCAGACCTAGCAATGAACCAAGAAAAATGATTCACAGAGCCTACACCAAATTTATTGAGTAGGCCTTAGTTTATTGTTTGTTTTCTTAGCTACTTGGATTATAAATAACCATATGATTGAATTATTGCTTGTAAGATAGCTTAGTTTAGCAATCAATTGGCATATGCACTCTTACAGTTGTATTTTTCTTGTAGCTATGCCCATTGTACCCACACAATCAAGAGGTATCACTGAATGAAATGAGAAGCCCTTCTGAATTACTAGAATTTGGGAAATTCTCTAATTGCATGGATTATAGTACTGGAGTTGGGGCTTCTCCTCTTCATGTTGCAAATCCCGCATTTGACTATGTGCCTCCAGAGCTTGTTAGCCTTCTCATCACTGATGTGTAAGGCCTCTTTGCATTGCTGCTTTGAAATACAGTATATTAACTACTTGACCTCATCTTTCCCATGCCTTGTGCATTTTGTGCGATTTATTATGTAGCATCAACATTTTCCTAATGGCTTGAACAATCTTTTGTTCGTTTAATTATTCGACTCTGCAAAGGAATGCATTCAGTGTATTTGGTAGGAAGGATTGTAAAAGATTGGACGATATTAAGTAATAAAAATAAAATTAATTTTACCGTCTAATCCTATCTACAACTGTGCTCCAAGCACGAACATTATGTATATCACTAGTCTATACAAAATGCATTTTTTTTATGCCATTTTCGCCATATGGGTGTTATACTTCTCATTTTTTGCTTGTAGATAGATGTATTTATTTTATGTTGTCCTTTTTAAATTGGGAGAAATTCGTTCTTTAGTCAAAACATGACTGATGAAATAGTAAAAGAACTCTATGACAGTTTGCTTTATGGACTAATAAAGGTTTTGTTATTTACACTAATTTACACTGATCCTCATCAACATCTGCAGAGGAGGGCATAACCCGTCATATATGTATCGGCTAATTGCTGATTATTATTCCGCTGATGATTATTTCTTGCAAGAGAAGCATGATTCTTGAAGGTGAGTTTCTTACTCGAAATATTGACTTCTTACTTTCACATCTTGTGCATCCTTTTGGATAGTCTTTTCATGTGTGCATTGTATTGATGTCTCCGTATTCATTTTAGGATAAGAAAAAACCATATATTAATTTACAAAAGAATTGTTGGAAGAGAATTTACAATATTGTTTGTTATGGATTTATCTTTAATCCTATATTCACGAGAGCAATAATAACACAATACAGAAAATGAAAGCAAGATAAACATATAAAGTGGTTCAATCTCAATGCTTGAGCTATGTCCACTCGAGGTTGCTGCAGAACTGCATTATAAGAAGAGGATTACAATGTATATCTGGACTCGCATTTTTCTTTGTTTTCTCTCTAATACAATAAGAATGCTCGTCCTAAGACCTTTTATATGGGATGAAAAGTGTAAAATCTATTAGGGCTTGTTTGATAGGCTTGTTTTTCCATGGAAGAAAAAAATAAAAAATAATAAAAAAAATTCCATTTCCACCCAAAAATGGTTGTTTGATAGCCAAAAAATTCCTTGGAATTAGTTTTCCAATTCCCCCTCTCATGATGCCATTTTGTTGGTTTTTAAGAAATTCCAATTCGTTTGGTTTTGGTGGGAATTGGGTTTTCCAACTTCTTTTTCCTTTTTTTATTTTTTATTTTTATATATATATTTTTGTATTTTTATTTTTTGATAATGGAAACAATTGTGACAAATTCTATCCCTTTAATTGACAATTTTCATGAAAAACAAAGTCAAACGAATACCAAATTATCCAAAATTTTAACATTTTTCAAGTAAAAAATCATACCAATCAAACATATTTAATTGACAATTATCAGTAAATAAGTTCTAAGTAGTTCAGTTTCCTGAAATCATTTTAAATCATACGATGATTGAACTCGTGCTAAAATTCCATTCAATTTGCACTACAACTTTGCAAAATGAAATTTTCATCCTTGTCATACTGATCTTTTCGTAGGCACTTCAAGGAGGAGGAAAATTAAAAATTGGAAAAGCGGCTGTGGAGGTCAAACGTTGTGAAGAAACTGGTATGTCTCGCCGAGAATCATACCGAAAATCAATCGTTTACGTTTCAATTTCCGACCAGATAAAATATCTTGAAGAATACCTATAGTACTCATGTTTAAGTTAGTAGACATGAGGGTAGTTTGTTGTTGAAATCCTGAAGCTGCAAGCCTGATTGCAGTCCATATTGATAGCATGATTATGTGACTATCTTGAACTAGATGCTTTAGTTTGTCTATAAATGGACGTTATTTTGTTCTGTTTCTTCTAGATCAAAGCTTCTATACTTCACCAAATACTTCACATGTTACGTATTGGATTACTACTTCACACGTTACATATTGGATTACTTTCCTTTTCTGTCAGTCCCAAATTATATGTCACTTTCCTTGTTAATGAAAGCCTGGGCTATAGTCTAGCCCTGCCCAAGCCCAAATGAAAGCCTAATGTGAAGAAAAAAAAATATATGTATAAATTTAGCTCAAATTATACTTTAGCCCAGTTAATTTTCAGCCAAAGTCCAATGATAAATAGTCCAAATTTAGTTAGATACTCTGTATAATTACACATTCATCTATTGATTTGTATTTTTATTTTTATTTTGGGATAAGGCACATTCATCTAGCTCACATTAGTGCTGTACGAAAAATGCATTACCAAGTTAGGTATTATACTATATTTGACCAAGTTTAAAAGGTTCATTTCTAATTAAATAAGTAAATTTATAATAAATCACTTTTTTATTGAAGTTAAAAATAATGGTGATGTTACATGTACATAATGTTGTACACACGGATTTACACCCTCACATGAAGGGAGGCCCAAATACAATAAATTGTGCCTGGATCTCCCTCCATGAGAGAGGGGTGTAATTTCGTGTGTACACCCAACATTACTATAAAAATAAATGACTTATTTAAATAATTATTTTTATAGTAAGAGAGCTGCATTTTTGACTAGGCGTAAAAGTAATTAAATTTTTTTTCTGTGTATATTTTCACTTGTTACTTGTTTATCCTCATATAAATAAAAAAATTTACTTATTTTGAGCATCTTTTATGACGTGGGTTCGTTGAAAGCTTTGTAAATTGCAGTCCACTTCTACATTTTTTCTGGCTCTGCCCTTGTTAAACGTATAATTGATTATGTGACACGACGTGAAACATGTTTCGTTTCAAATTTTTTAGCACATACACAAGTTGGAAAAGGAAACCTATATTCATGAAATTGAACAGGCGAGTTCCAACGATTTTCATCTTTGGAGACTGATTATAAAACCATTATTCAAGGTTGATGATCAATAATTTTCTAAAGCCTCTAATTTGAAAGACGGCCTATAGAATTTGTCAAAGTCTGTGCATGTGTATTTTTCAAATGTCTGATAGGATAAAAGAAAATTGAGAAAGAGTGAAAGAAAATATTTTACTTTTCAATATATGGCAAAAAATAAAAATAAAAATAAAAATAAAAAATAAAGAAAGAAAGAAAAAAGAAATGGTGAAATCAATTACAATCATGTTATAGTGACATAGTCCATGACATAATGTTTAAAATAAAAGTACATGATATTTTATTATTGAACTCTTTAAAATACAATCAGTTTTTCACCAATCAAATCCTGTCACACTGTCTTCTATCAAAGAATCTAGCTAGATTCTTCTGTCACAACAACATTTTCCGACGAATTAATGCATCATGGAAATTGTCATCCGATTGCAATTTATTGAACAAAGGAATTAATTTGTTTAAAATTCATAAAAGTCTTTATTATAGACACCACATATTGATTTGAATGATAACGATGACACAAACTTCATTATCAAGACAATACATTATTGTACCATATCAAGACATTATTGACACAAAATATACTATTATGTCACCATGTGGAGTATCATGACAACCATCCAAAACTATTATTTTTCTTTTGTGGTAATACAAAATATAACACATTTTTTAATTGAATAAGTATTTTTTTTTATAGTGCACATAACAAATCTGAGTAAACACACTCTTGTTTGACAATTTCAAATAATTTAAAAATAAATTTAGGTTCTGTCTGAACTCTATTTTTTGTAATAATATCTCTTGGAGAATGTATGATTAAAATTTGATATAAGTTTTGAGTTTATGTGTAAAATTATTTTATTAGGAGAATGTATGGTTGAAAATGAGTTTGAAAAAATAATAAATTTTTAGATAATGAACTCAAAGAGGGACTTAAATTCCATAAATATTGTAAAATCAGTATTATTAAGACATATTAAAATGTTCGCTATGATAAAATGTCTATTTTGTCTATATATATATATATATATATATATATACGCACACGCACGCCGCACGAGTGTGTGTTGTTGACAATTTTCAGCCATAGTAGGTTGAATATTCAAAACGCGTTAAGCTAGATACATGAATTGATATTGACAAATAGAAATTTATTTGGTCAAGTATTAAAGTATGTGAAGTAACACAAGAAAACCATGTTGAACATGGAAGAAAGGTTTATAGAGAGTTAGAAACAAGAAATGTCACAAATTGTTACAATCTTGCAATTAGAATTTCAATAAATAAAAAAAAATAATAATCAAGTATTTCAACAGTATCACTTCATATAATTCGTATCTCAAAAAAACTTAAGTAAAAAAATTTGAGATTCGCTTATTTGCAAAGCCTTACTCAGTACAATTACAGTTAGTAATATAGGCAAATATGACGCCTTAAATACTTGAATCTCACACACTCGTTTCATGATATCATTTGTAAAAAAATCTTTTTAAATTTTTCAGTATCAATTGAAGTAATTTTTTCTTGAACTCACCTTGATCATCTATGAATTTAGGGACTAACCAATGTGCTAGTTTTGCATGTAATGACAAGACTTGCCACGTTGAGTCGATACAAGATAAAACGTTTACATTATTCTAAGAAACGATAAACTTACTTCTTGTATTTATCTAAATATCACCTTTCATTATGTCAAATGTTTGTTTTGGCTGATACGATGAAATCGTGAATGGGAACAAATGTCATCACAGGACAAGTAAGTTGAGAATGACTTGTCGGCAAGACAAATAAGGTTGGGATCAATTTGCGACGAAATCCATAAATTGTGGTTTCCTTTTTATTTTTAAATATAACTTTAATAAATTGCAGGTTCGACCATTCGATTCAACTTAGGTTCGTTTAATAAGATTTTTGAAAATTAAAATTATTTTTCAAATTAATGAAATTAATTTTGAATTTGTTTAAAATAATTTTTTAAAAGCATTTTATTTCATTAGACGAAAGCTGACCCAAGATATTCTTATATAAAAAGTAGGAACATAAAAACTATCTCAAATAGATTATTAAAATATTATTTATAAGCCTCCTTTTCAATCTTATTATTTAAAAACTTATTTTTTTCTCAAATTTATTTTCAATCACATGGAATGTCCAACATAATAAATTTACACATAAATTCAAAAAAAATTCTCACTTTTAATATAAAAAAAATCACTATTATAAAATTTATTTTCCCAAAAAAGGGGAATTCAAACCAATATTATTAGAGTCAACCCCAACCTAGCCGGTTCAACCGTTAAAATTAGAAACTGAGCTGGGAGCCAGATCTATTACCTATAAAATAAGTGCATAAAAAACTTTTAGAAAATGGAAGAAATTTGGAGGGATGTGGATTATATTTTGTAGAAATTACACTCATCCATATTTTTTAACTTTTAATTTCAAAAATAAGATTTGAAATTTTTTTGTACAAAAATTAGGTGATAATTCGATTTTTTAAATATTAAATAATAATATTATAAAATTAAATTAATCTGCACACCCACCGCAATTTTACTTCCAAACCCTAAATCGTTTTCATTTGTCTTCACTTTCTATCGTCTCCCTTCTATCCTCTCTCTATATTCTCCATTCTCTCTTCATAAATCGGCACTAGCGCTCACAGAGACCAACTTCGCTCACAGCTGTATGCCTTGGTGTAGTTATAATATCGTTGATCTGAAAATGGTGGCGATTTTAGAAAATTGCAGCGACGCTTTCAAAAAAATGATAGAAAGTGGGGGTGAAAGTGGTTGAAACCAACTATTAGTGAATTTATGACTAATAAATAATATGTGATCTAAAAAAAATTGTAAAATTACAATTAAATTTGTAGTTGTAACCCACAGTTTGTTAAGTTGCGATCAATTAATTTGATAATTTATTATTAGGAAATAAGCTATGACTTATAAAATTTGTGGTTTGTGATCGATGAATAAATTACGACTTATAAAATTTGTGATCAAAAAATAATTCGTAATCAATTAATTTGATAATTTGTGATCGATAATAAATTGTGACCTTCGAAATTTGTGATTTGTAATCGAGACGTTTAGTAATGGTAACTAGCACATAACTATGATAATAAAGTGTATAATATTTCGACATTAATAAATCTAATTAATAAAATATTTTAATTATCTATTTAATTAATAAAATTTAATTATGACCTGATTTTTGAATTTTTAAAACTTATTTCTTAAATTTTGATATTGTATTTTATGTTTTAACCACCTTATAATTTTAGGGTTGACCTTATAAATAGTTTGTTATACGTAACGTGGCCAATCAGTTCAGCTATATATTTTATCAAATAAATAGTATACTTTGCTATACTTTAATTTATTAAAAATTGATAAGCTCGTAATACATATTATTGTACTTATTTAATTCACAATTACCACGATTAATAAAAATAGTATAAAATACACCTAAAAAACTATTAAAAGTTTTAAATTTTACTACTCTTTTGTATATTTTGTATTTATATAATAAGCCTTTTAACTACCAATTCGGCCTCGGTTCTATTTGGATTGAAACTTTTAACCGTCGACCATTTAACTTTTTTGAATCGATAGTCTGGCCGGGGTTTTAAAACATTGGTTCAAACAAACCTTTAATAGTACATTTTTAAATAAATAATTTTATAGATCAACATTAAAAATAAGCAAGCATAATTAAGAAGTTCTTTCTAAGTGATTAAATAAATTATGATCAGTTAAAGGTAAACCGTTAGTACTGGAAATATTACATATATATGTATAAAAAGTGGGTTATATTCACTAATGGTCATCCAACCTTATGTTTAGTGTCACCCTAATCACCCAATTTAATTTTATTTCACCATGATCATTAGATTTTATATAACATTTTACTATGGTCACACAATTTCTTTTCACTATTTCCACAAAAATGGTAAAATTGTAACTTTGCATTATATATATAAAATAAATATAAAAAAACAAAAATAATTTTTTCATTTTAAAAATTTTCTATTTTATTTTACTTTTTTGACTAATTTTTTAAAATAAGTTTTTTTTTTATTTTAAAAACATTTTTTTAAAATAAGTTTTATTTTATATTGTTTTTCTAAGTAACACTATTTAAAAAAAAAATTAACGTTTTATTTTGTTTTACCATTCTAAGTAACATTTTTTCAAAAAAAAAAAACTTTTTATTTATTTTAAAAACATTTTTTTTTCTAAAATATTTTTTATTTTATTTTTTAAGTAATGTTTTTATAAAATAAGTTTTTTATTTTATTTTTTAAGTAAATTTTTTTAAATAATTTTTTATTATATTATAATTTTAAAAATAAATTTTTATTATATTTATTTGTTTTATTAAAAAATATTTTATATATAATGCAAAGTTACAATTTTATCTCCTTTAAAATTAGTGAAAATGGTAAAAAGAAGTTGGATGACCATAATAAAACGTTATATGAAATTAAGTGGTCATAGTGAAACATTTTATGAAATTAGGTAGTTATGATGAAATAAAATCAAATTGAATGACCATAATGACACTAAATACAAAATTGAATGGTCATTAATGAATTTAACCTAACTTTGAACTATTCATTGAAAATTCGTTGAAGACTCAAAGTGATGACGTATTTTGCGCCCTTTGGAGTCAATTTCTGAAAAGATAGCAATAACGTATTAGCGTACCTGTTCATAACAATCTTAATTAATTACTTTCTGATTTTATATTTAATTAATTAATTTATTTTGTCAGAGAAATTAATAACTATCTGTTTGGCCCCATTATTCCACGTTATAATGAAAGGATTAGTAATTTTTTTGGAGAATGTCTGATTAAAAAGGAAGAAATTTTGTTTAGATTTACGTGTATTATTATTTTATTGAAAAATGTGTAGTTGATATAAAGAGAGAGAAAATAAATTATCCCCTATTCGGTAGCAATTTTTCACTGAAAAAATCAATTTTTTTACCATTATTTCACTATTTCAGCCGTCATTTTTTACTTCTTCACTCATAGGTGGGACTTATTTTTCTCTGTAACGATCAAAAAATCAATTCTCATAATCATTACCGGCAAAAGGGAGCTAGAACAGAAGACTTGGTATTCTTTGAGTATATTGGAGAACATTGTTGGTTAGGTGGAGCAATAATTCTTAACGCGTAATAAATGGAAGACTCTTAACAATTTTTCATTAATTTATTTGTTTGAAAGCGAGAAGGGTTGAGATTCTTCAAGTTTTGAAGACAAATGTTTAGGTGGATATATATATATATATTTATTTATTTATTTATTATTATTATTATTATTTTTAAGTGAAAAAGAGTAAATATCAACAGGAGATGCCTGATGTACAGTATTCTTTGTATATTCCATTTCTCAATCAGAGGATTGAGACTTCAGATTATTTATTATTCCTTTTTATTTATAATCTAACATATTAGTCATCGAGACTTTAATAACCAATCTAATAATCTGAAATTGTATCATTCGATGGATTTTGTGAGATTTGATCTGAATATAGTTGGTTTTTGGCATCATTTCTTGATAAACAAAATGGGATGTAATTGGCTACCAAGAATTAATTTTTGAAGGGCAGATCGAGTTCTTTAGTAGGGATTGCAAAAATATCTGTTCAACTCGACACTCACAGCCCCCTAATCGGGTAAACGGGATGGGGACGGGGTGGAGAACATTGCCTCGAAGGGGGTATGGGGAGGGTATGGGAAACATAGTCCCTATCCCGCCATCCGCCCCTTTTAAAATTAACTTCAAATTTAAGTTTTTTATAAAATAAAAATTAAATTTTTTTTTATCATTTTTCAAAAGAACATGAGAATTGAAAAAAAAAATAATAATAATAATATTTACTAACTAAAGACATAAAAAAATAAAAACAAAAAAATTCAAAAAATGTATGGGGCGACAACTTGCTCGTCCCGAACTTACCCGTCTCACTTTAATCGGGTATGAGGACAGGACAAGGTAACAAAAATATCGACGTTGCTGGTATTCACAAAGTATGTCACTCAAAGCACCCTTTTTATCTTTTTTTTTTTTTTTTTTTACAAGGTGTCCTATTCTAGACTAATCCTTGGGTCTGTGATCCGGCCCCTCTTCACACAGTCCGGTTAATCGCAGGATGTGCCTCCAACTGGCCAGGGTCCGAGCGCTCCCCACCTGGTCTGACAAAGTGCCAAGCAAGTCAATCCAAGTTGCACCTTGCCTTCCAAGAATAATCCTTGCCTTCTAAGTTCCCACTTGCCTTCCAAGAATAAATCCTTGCCTTCCAAATGTTCCCTTGCCTTCCAAGAATAAATCATTGCCTTCCAAGAGCCCCATGTTTCGAACTCACGACCTCTGCTCTGCCAGGTTTGACAGCGTCCGTCCTTTGCCAGTGGAAAAGTGCCCTGGGGGGCACCCTTTTTATCTTTTTATCATTGTAGGAGGTGGTTTCACACATTCTTTTTGACTTCATTGCAGCTTACATAGAATAGTTTATTGGAAGAGTTTGTACGTATCTCGTGCCAGAAAATTTCATTAATTTCTACATCTTCCTTATAACGAGATTTTGCCTACTATAACGAAATAAAGAACTAATCATTGAGAGATTAAGTGAATAAAATCAATGTGAAAATGTTGGACAAAACGTGGGTTAGAAACGTGGTTTGTCCCCTCAATTTATGGACTTTCTCGCAAATGGTCTAATTATTAAAATGTCAGTATCTAGTCATAGAACTTTCTAATGTTTACCTTCTTAATCACTTAGATTGATTCCGTGACTCTAACAATTGACAAAGCTCATTTGGCTCATTATATGCTTATGTGGCATAACTGTAGACATTATTCGTCCAACTCGAGGATTTTTTATATGAAAAAAGTTGATTTTTGGTAAATAATATCTATTTTGTGTTGTCCGATCATGGACATTGTGTTTGAACACGTGCTATGTTTTAAAGGTGTCATGTTGATTTATTGGACAGTTAATGTCCACGGTCAAATGACATAAGCATAATTGGGCAAAATCAACCTTGTCGTTAGTTTTTGTGGATGAAGTTGATTTCAGGGACTAACATGGTAAACTTTATAAACTAAAGTGACTATTTATTGATGTTTTAAACTTTAGGGACCATTTGCAAACGTGCCTGTAAGTCCAGTGAAGAACCAAGGTTTTAACATACAAAATGTCCATAAGGTGAACGCAGCAGCAATGACTATGCTAAAATGGACAAATGGTCGATAAGGTAAGAAATGAAAGTAGTGCCAACTAAGGATAATTAAGGGAATGACAACTGAGATGGTTAAGGTCATGAATTGCATGGGACTTAAGAGCCCCCTTCTATAAGAGTGACACAAGTAGTGGTATAAGTCAGAAAGGGGAAGGGGAGTTAGACCAAAATTCACAAAATGCACATGGCCTATTGTAGGGCTAAGGTTCTCGTTGCCTTTTATATTCCTGCAGATCTAGCAATGAACCAAGAAAAATGATTCACAGAGCCTACACCAAATTTATTGAGTAGGCCTTAGTTTATTGTTTGTTTTCTTAGCTACTTGGATTATAAATAACCATATGATTGAATTATTGCTTGTAAGATAGCTTAGTTTAGCAATCAATTGGCATATGCACTCTTACAGTTGTATTTTTCTTGTAGCTATGCCCATTGTACCCACACAATCAAGAGGTATCACTGAATGAAATGAGAAGCCCTTCTGAATTACTAGAATTTGGGAAATTCTCTAATTGCATGGATTATAGTACTGGAGTTGGGGCTTCTCCTCTTCATGTTGCAAATCCCGCATTTGACTATGTGCCTCCAGAGCTTGTTAGCCTTCTCATCACTGATGTGTAAGGCCTCTTTGCATTGCTGCTTTGAAATACAGTATATTAACTACTTGACCTCATCTTTCCCATGCCTTGTGCATTTTGTGCGATTTATTATGTAGCATCAACATTTTCCTAATGGCTTGAACAATCTTTTGTTCATTTAATTATTCGACTCTGCAAAGGAATGCATTCAGTGTATTTGGTAGGAAGGATTGTAAAAGATTGGACGATATTAAGTAATAAAAATAAAATTAATTTTACCGTCTAATCCTATCTACAACTGTGCTCCAAGCACGAACATTATGTATATCACTAGTCTATACAAAATGCATTTTTTTTATGCCATTTTCGCCATATGGGTGTTATACTTCTCATTTTTTGCTTGTAGATAGATGTATTTATTTTATGTTGTCCTTTTTAAATTGGGAGAAATTCGTTCTTTAGTCAAAACATGACTGATGAAATAGTAAAAGAACTCTATGACAGTTTGCTTTATGGACTAATAAAGGTTTTGTTATTTACACTAATTTACACTGATCCTCATCAACATCTGCAGAGGAGGGCATAACCCGTCATATATGTATCGGCTAATTGCTGATTATTATTCCGCTGATGATTATTTCTTGCAAGAGAAGCATGATTCTTGAAGGTGAGTTTCTTACTCGAAATATTGACCTCTTACTTTCGCATCTTTTGCATCCTTTTGGATGGTCTTTTCATGTGTGCATTGTATTGATGTCTCCGTATTCATTTCAGGATAAGACGAAAACCATATATTAATTTACAAAATAATTGTTGGAAGAGAATTTACAATATTGTTTGTTATGGATTTATCTTTAATCCTATATTCCCGAGAGCAATTATAACACAATACAGAAAATGAAAGCAAGATAGACATATAAAGTGGTTCAATCATTTGGTGCTAATTGCCTGAAATCAGTGTGAGATAGCATCATATGATGATTGAACTCGTGCTAAAATTCCATTCAATTTGCACTACAACTTTGCAAAGTGAAATTTTCATCCTTGTCATACTGATCTTTTCGTAGGCACTTCAAGGAGGAGGAAAATTTAAAATTGGAAAAGCGGCTGTGGAGGTCAAATGTTGCGAAGAAAGTGGTATGTCTCGCCGAGAATCATACCGAAAATCAATCGTTTACGTTTCAATTTTTACTAGATAAAATATCTTGAAGAATACCTATAGTATTCATGTTTTAGTTAGTAGACATGAGGGTAGTTTGTAGTTGAAATCCTGAAGCTGCAAGCCTGATTGCAGTCCAAAGTGATAGCATGATTATGTGACTATCTTGAACTAGATGCTTTATTTTGTCTATAAATGCATAATTACACATTCATCTATTGATTTTTATTTTTATTTTTATTTTGGGATAAGGCACATTCATTTACATTAGTGCTATACAAAAAATGAATTACCAAGTTAGGTATTCGACCATATTTGACCAAGTTTAAAAGGTTCATTTCTAATTAAATAAGTAAATTTATAATAAATCACTTTTTTATTGAAGTTAAAAATAATGGTGATGTTACACGTACATAATGTTGTACACACGGATTTACACTGTCACGTGAAGGGAGGCCCACATATAATAAATTGTGCCTGGATCCCCCTACATGAGCGAGGGGTGTAATCTCGTGTGTACACTTTGAGGTGTACAAGCAACATTACTATAAAAATAAATGACTTATTTAAATAGTTATTTTTATAGTAAGAGAGCTGCATGTTTGACTAGGCGTAAAAGTAATTAAATTTTTTTCTATGTATATTTTCACTTGTTACTTGTTCATCCTCATATAAATAAAAAATTTACTTATTTTGAGCATCTTTTATGACGTGGGTTCGTTGAAAGCTTTGTAAATTGCAGTCCACTTCTACATTTTTTCTGGCTCTGCCCTTGTTAAACGTATAGTTGATTATGTGACACGAAGTGAAACATGTTTCGTTTCAAATTTTTTAGCACATACACAAGTTGGAAAAGGAAACCTATATTCATGAAATTGAACAGGCGAGTTCCAACGATTTTCATCTTTGGAGACTGATTATAAAACCATTATTCAAGGTTGATGATCAATAATTTTCTAAAGCCTCTAATTTGAAAGACGGCCTATAGAATTTGTCAAAGTCTGTGCATGTGTATTTTTCAAATGTCTGATAGGATAAAAGAAAATTGAGAAAGAGTGAAAGAAAATATTTTACTTTTCAATATATGGCAAAAAATAAAAATAAAAAATAAAGAAAGAAAGAAAAAAGAAATGGTGAAATCAATTACAATCATGTTATAGTGACATAGTCCATGACATAATGTTTAAAATAAAAGTACATGATATTTTATTATTGAACTTTTTAAAATACAATCAGTTTTTTCACCAATCAAATCCTGTCACACTGTCTTCTATCAAAGAATCTAGCTAGATTCTTCTGTCACAACAACATTTTCCGACGAATTAATGCATCATGGAAATTGTCATCCGATTGCAATTTATTGAACAAAGGAATTAATTTGTTTAAAATTCATAAAAGTCTTTATTATAGACACCACATATTGATTTGAATGATAACGATGACACAAACTTCATTATCAAGACAATACATTATTGTACCATATCAAGACATTATTGACACAAAATATACTATTATGTCACCATGTGGAGTATCATGACAACCATCCAAAACTATTATTTTTCTTTTGTGGTAATACAAAATATAACACATTTTTTAATTGAATAAGTATTTTTTTTTATAGTGCACATAACAAATCTGAGTAAACACACTCTTGTTTGACAATTTCAAATAATTTGAAAATAAATTTAGGTTCTGTCTGAGCTCTATTTTTTGTAATAATATCTCTTGGAGAATGTATGATTAAAATTTGATATAAATTTTGAGTTTATGTGTAAAATTATTTTATTAGGAGAATGTATGGTTGAAAATGAGTTTGAAAAAATAATAAATTTTTAGATAATGAACTCAAAGAGGGACTTAAATTCCATAAATATTGTAAAATCAGTATTATTAAGACATTTTAAAATGTTCGCTATGATAAAATGTCTATTTTGTCTATATATATATATATATATATATATATACGCACACGCACGCCGCACGAGTGTGTGTTGTTGACAATTTTCAGCCATAGTAGGTTGAATATTCAAAACGCGTTAAGCTAGATACATGAATTGATATTGACAAATAGAAATTTATTTGGTCAAGTATTAAAGTATGTGAAGTAACACAAGAAAACCATGTTGAACATGGAAGAAAGGTTTATAGAGAGTTAGAAACAAGAAATGTCACAAATTGTTACAATCTTGCAATTAGAATTTCAATAAAAAAAAAAATAATCAAGTATTTCAACAGTATCACTTGATATAATTCGTATCTCAAAAAAACTTAAGTAAAAAAATTTGAGATTCGCTTATTTGCAAAGCCTTACTCGGTACAATTACAGTTAGTAATATAGGCAAATATGACGCCTTAAATACTTGAATCTCACACACTCATTTCATGATATCATTTGTAAAAAAATCTTTTTAAATGTTTCAGTATCGATTGAAGTAATTTTTTCTTGAACTCACCTCGATCATCTATGAATTTAGGGACTAACCAATGTGCTAGTTTTGCAAGTAATGACAAGACTTGCCACGTTGAGTCGATACAAGATAAAACGTTTACATTATTTTAAGATACGATAAACTTACATCTTGTATTTATCTAAATATCACCTTTCATTATGTCAAATGTTTGTTTCGGCTGATACGATGAAATCGTGAATAGGAACAAATGTCATCACAGGACAAGTAAGTTGAGAATGACTTGTCGGCAAGACAAATAAGGTTGGGATCAATTTGCGACGAAATCCATAAATTGTGGTTTCCTTTTAATTTTTAAATATAACTTTACTAAATTGCAGGTTCGACCATTCGATTCAACTTAGGTTCGTTTAATAAGATTTTTGAAAATTAAAATTATTTTTCAAATTAATGAAATTAATTTTGAATTTGTTTAAAATAATTTTTTAAAAGCATTTTATTTCATTAGACGAAAGCTGACCCAAGATATTCTTATATAAAAAGTAGGAACATAAAAACTATCTCAAATAGATTATTAAAATATTACTTATAAGCCTCCTTTTAAATCTTATTATTTAAAGATTTATTTTTTTCTCAAATTTATTTTCAATCACATGGAATGTCCAATAAAATAAATTTACACATAAATTCAAAAAAATTTCTCACTTTTGATAAAAAAAATCACTATTATAAACTTTATTTTCCGAAAAAAGGGGAATTCAAACCAATATTATTAGAGTCAACCCCGACCTAGCCGGTTCAACCGTTAATTATTTTTGAAATTAAGTTTTAACTTTTAATTTCAAAAATAAGATTTGAAATTTTTTTGTACAAAAATTAGGTGATAATTCGATTTTTTAAATATTAAATAATAATATTATAAAATTAAATTAATCTACACACCCACCCCAATTTCACTTCCAAACCCTAAATCGTTTTCATTTGTCTTCACTTTCTATCATCTCCCTTCTTTCTCCCTTCTATCCTCTCTTTATATTCTCCATTCTCTCTTCATAAATCGACACTAGCTCTCACAGAGACCAACTTCGCTCACTGCTGTGTGCGTTGGTGCAGTTATAATATCGTTGATCTGAAATTGGTGGCAATTTTAGAAAATTGCAGCGACGCTTTCAAAAAAATGACAGAAAGTGGGGGTGAAAGTGGTTGAAACCAACTATTAGTGAATTTATGACTAATAAATAATATGTGATCTAAAAAAAATTGTAAAGTTGCAATTAAATTTGTAGTCGTAACTCACAGTTTGTTAAGTTGCGATCAATTAATTTGATAATTTATTAATAGGAAATAAGCCATGACTTATAAAATTTGTGGTTTGTGATCGATGAATAAATTACGACTTATAAAATTTGTGATCGAAAAATAATGTGTAATCAATTAATTTGATAATTTGTGATCGATAATAAATAGTAACCTTCGAAATTTGTGATTTGTAATCGAGACGTTTAGTAATGGTAACTAGCACATAACTATGATAATAAAGTGTATAGTATTTCGACATTAATAAATCTAATTAATAAAATATTTTAATTATCTATTTAATTAATAAAATTTAATTATGACCTGATTTTTGAATTTTTAAAACTTATTTCTTAAATTTTGATATTGTATTTTATGTTTTAACCGCCTTATATTTTTAGGGTTGACATTATTGGGTCTAAATAGTTTGTTATACGTCACGTAGCCAATCAGTTCAGCTATATATTTTATCAAATAAATAGTATACTTTGCTATACTTTAATTTATAAAAAATTGATAAGCTCGTAATACATATAATTGTACTTATTTAATTCACAATTACTACGATTAATAAAAATAGTATAAAATACACCTAAAAAACTATTAAAAGTTTTAAATTTTACTACTCTTTTGTATATTTTGTATTTATATAATAAGTTCTTTAACTACCAATTCGGCCTCGGTTCTATTTGGATTGAAACTTTTAACTGTCGACCATTTAACACTTCTGATAGTCCCGGCGGGGTTTTAAAACATTGGTTCAAACAAACCTTTAATAGTACATTTTTAAATAAATAATTTTATCGATCAACATTAAAAATAAGCAAGCATAATTAAGAAGTTATTTATAAGTGATTAAATAAATTATGATCAGTTAAAGGTAAACTGTTAGTATTGGAAATATTACATACGTATGTATAAAAAGTGGGTTATATTCACTAATCGTCATCCAACTTTATAGTTAGTGTCACCCTAATCACACAATTTAATTTTATTTCACCATGATCATTTAATTTCATATAACATTTTACTATGATCACACAACTTCTTTTCACTATTTCCACAAAAATAGTAAAATTGTAACTTTGCATTATTTATATAAAATAAATATAAAAAAACAATTATAATTTTTTCATTTTAAAAATTTTCTATTTTATTGTACTTTTTTAACTAATTTTTTAAAATAAGTTTTTGTTTTATTTTAAAAACATTTTTTTAAAATAAGTTTTATTTTATATTGTTTTTCTAAGTAACACTATTTAAAAAAAAATTTAACCTTTTATTTTATTTTACTATTCTAAGTAACATTTTTTCAAAAAAACTTTTTATTTATTTAAAAAATTTTTTTTATTTTATTTTTTAAGTAAATTTTTTAAATAATTTTTTATTTTATTATAATTTTTAAAATAATTTTTTATTTTATTTTTTTGTTTTATTAAAAATTATTTTATATATAATGCAAAGTTACAGTTTTACCTCTTTTAAAATTAGTGAAAATGGTAAAAAGAAGTTGGATGACCTTAATAAAACGTTATATGAAATTAAGTGGTCATAGTGAAACATTTTATGAAATTAGGTAGTTATGATGAAATAAAATCAAATTGAATGATCATAATGACACTAAATACAAAATTGAATGGTCATTAATGAATTTAACCTAACTTTGAACTATTCATTGAAAATTCGTTGAAGACTCAAAGTGATGACGTATTTTATGCCCTTTGGAGTCAATTTCTGAAAAGATAGCAATAACGTATTAGCGTACCTGTTCATAACAATCTTAATTAATTACTTTCTGATTTTATATTTAATTAATTTATTTTTTTTGTCAGAGAAATTAATAACTATCTGTTTGGCCCCATTATTCCTATAATGAAAACAATAGTAATTTTTTTTGGAGAATGTCTGATTAAAGAAGAAGAAATTTTATTTAGATTTACGTATATTATTATTTTATTGAAAAATGTGTAGTTGATATAAAGAGAGAGAAAATAAATTATCCCCTATTCGGTAGCAATTTTTCACTGAAAAAATCAATTTTTTTTTACCATTAATTCACTATTTCAGTCGTTATTTTTTACTTCTTCACTCATAGGTGGGACTTATTTTTCTCTGTAACGATCAAAAAATCAATTCTCATAATCATTACCGGCAAAAGGGAGCTAGAACAGAAGACTTGGTATTCTTTGAGTATATTGGAGAACATTGTTGGTTAGGTGGAGCAATAATTCTTAACGCGTAATAAATGGAAGACTCTTAACAATTTTTCATTAATTTATTTGTTTGAAAGCGAGAAGGGTTGAGATTCTTCAAGTTTTGAAGACAAATGTTTAGGTGGATATATATATATATATTTATTTATTTATTTATTATTATTATTATTATTTTTAAGTGAAAAAGAGTAAATATCAACAGGAGATGCCTGATGTACAGTATTCTTTGTATATTCCATTTCTCAATCAGAGGATTGAGACTTCAGATTATTTATTATTCCTTTTTATTTATAATCTAACATATTAGTCATCGAGACTTTAATAACCAATCTAATAATCTGAAATTGTATCATTCGATGGATTTTGTGAGATTTGATCTGAATATAGTTGGTTTTTGGCATCATTTCTTGATAAACAAAATGGGATGTAATTGGCTACCAAGAATTAATTTTTGAAGGGCAGATCGAGTTCTTTAGTAGGGATTGCAAAAATATCTGTTCAACTCGACACTCACAGCCCCCTAATCGGGTAAACGGGATGGGGACGGGGTGGAGATCATTGCCTCAAAGGGGGTATGGGGAGGGTACGGGAAACATAGTACCCATCCCGCCACCCCCCTTTTAAAATTAACTTCAAATTTAAGTTTTTTATAAAATAAAAATTAATTTTTTTTTGTCATTTTTCAAAAGAACATGAGAATTGAAAAAAAAAAAAATTAATTTTTTTTTGTCATTTTTCAAAAGAACATGAGAATTGAAAAAAAAAAAAAAAGTAATATTTAGTAACTAAAGACATAAAAAAAATATATAGGGCGACAACTTGCCTCGTCCCGAACCTACCCATCTCACTTTAATCGGGTATGAGGACAGGACAAGGTAACAAAAATATCGACGGATAAGGGTGAAAATAATCGACCCATCTCGTCGTTGCCATTCGTATTCTTTGGGTCATTGAGGAATTACGCTTTCCCCACAAATAATATAAGGTCCAAAATTTAACACCTTTGGAAAAACCTACAGCACATCTGTTCCAGTTAAAAGACAGTGGAAAACTGAAGGTAGGTTCCTTACAAGAATATCAAAGAAGCCTAGTGATTTTTATCAGTCTTTTGACTAAATATTACAATTATAGATGCTCCTCTTTCACACCACTGTATGTTTCTTTACCAGTTGGTTCGAATGAGTCAACTGTTTTAACCAGCAGTGGGCTTCACATTTTTTTATTCTGTTAACGACAATAAAGAAGTCCTCGATTCAACATTTAATTGTTTAACATAATATTGCTGAAACTGACATTAAAATGTGTAGCTTCAGTTATAGCAGAAACTTACCTTTATTTACCTTGGACATAATTATCAATGGCTGAATCTGTTGTATCCTGTGTAATCCAGAGTCTTAGTGAATTGTTGGTTCATGAAGTCGAATTATTGCACGGTATTCGTGGCCAGCTTGAGCAAATACGAACGAAGCTTAGGCGTCTGCAGTGTATATCCAAAATTGCAGATGCCAGACAAGATGAAGATGAGAGGATCCATAATTGGGTTGCAGACACCAGGGAAGTTGCTTATGATGCAGAAGATTGTCTTGAATTATTTTTTGTTGAAATTGCATCGAGAAAGGAACACAATGTTTTTAGAAGATCTGCTTTTCTTTTGAAGGAAGTTAAATCCTTACACCATCTTTCGCCAAAAATCCTGGATATTGAAACAAGGATCTCTGATCTGGAAAAGGATTTGCGGGTTAGTCATATAAGCTCTATATTTCAAGGAGAAAATTCAAGTCCTCGTTCTGAGAGACGCCAACAGCTAAGAAGATCTTATTCTCATCATGAAGAGGATTTTGTTGGATTGGAAGAAGATGTAGAGAAATTGGTAGCAGAATTGGTGAAGGAAGATGGTGGTATTGGTAAATGTTATCATGTCGTCTCCATTGTCGGCATGGGTGGCATAGGAAAGACTGCGTTGGCCAGAAAGGTTTATTATCATGCTGATGTTCAGAGTCACTTTCACGCAGTCGCCTGGGCTTGCATATCTCGTCAATGGCATCCAGGAGATGTTCTGCAAAGGATCCTTAATAAACTTGTACCAGAAAGGAGGGAACAAATTAACGCGATAAAAGATATTACAGAGCTTGTCAGGGAGCTTTTCGAAGTTCAGAAAAGGAAAAAATGTCTGGTTGTACTTGATGATATTTGGGAAAAGGATGTCTGGCGTAGCCTCAGATCTGCCTTTCCCAACAGGAAGCTGGATAGCAGAGTAATTGTCACAACTCGTAACAAAGAAATCGCAAGAGACATTGATACAGATACAACATGTTTTCTCTATGAACAAAGATTCTTGAATGAGAAAGAGAGTTGGAAGCTCCTTCGGAAGAAAGCTTTTGCTGGTACAAATATTGCAGGTATCTGATCTGATTTGTTTTAGAATCAAAACCCCTTTCAGATTGTGTTATCATCTAACTCTGAATACTTTGCTTAAATATCTTACTTTCACCAGTGAAAGAATTAAACCCTTTTGATTGATAGTATAGTCTTGTTTGATCAGTACTGTTTTGCTTACATCTGGTATAAATACTTGAACTTGTAAACATTATGAACATGTAGTGCACTTTAGATGAGTCTTTACTAAATTACTTCAAACTCAGTTTATCCAAATACTGAAAAGTGCCTAATGCAACATATGCCCCCCCATGATTCCAAACGCACCAGTATCATTATCGAAATTCACCACTTCAACGGGCCAACGGCATCGTGGAGTAGACTACAGTATGATTTTACAGAATAATATATCCAACTTTTTCACCAATCAGGACTAATGTTTAGATTATAGATTGTAAATTATATGTTCTGTACATAAACCTTTTATGTGCATAATTCATAATTATCTTTGTAACCTTTGGTCCTTTAGTATTTGCTTGATAAAAGTATAATATTTACCACGTCGAATGAGTAGATAAATCGTATATATTTATTTAGCCTCTGTTTGGTATAGATTAAAATCTCAACCACATATTCAATTGACATTTGAAAACCACCAGTTCGATGACAGAGCACTTCTTGAATTCCTATTCACAGCCTTACAATAATTCTTTGGAGGTTCTCTAAATCTACCCGTTGTCCATTGCTTAATTCTTGTTGGCCGCGAATTTTGGATGAATGTTGTAGATCAAACCACTATAAAAGATTTCGTTTCTTGACTTCTTCTTTTACTTCTATCTAGCATTTACATAATTACATCTCATTACATGCGTTCTTTATAAATGTACACATTTAAATCATGCAAACCATCTTAGACTTTAGAAGTCTTTTACAGATTCATGAATACATTTAAGTCAGGATGGTTGTGGTTATACAGGTAAACCTGTCTTTAAATGTGAGGATGAAGATGCACGATCAAGCACGTCTAGTACAGAGAGCTTCCATTCATGCTTAAGTGAAAACGAAGAGGATGAAGCCATGGTTAAACCCAAGATGCGATGTTCTGATGATGGTATTCAAGGTAAGAGATTTTTACACATGGAGATTTCAAAATTTTCAACATTAGCAAAATATTTAAGTTACAAATGGAATTTTATCTTAGTTGTTTCCTTTCAAAAGTCTGTTTCGGGTCTTTGACACAAGATAAAGAAAATGAGATAAATGGTTCCCCCATTTGTTTTAGTCGTTCGAACATGTTCTTGATAATCACAGGTAAAACTTAGTTGAATAGAGGGTCATGGTTTACTGATGAGCTTTTATTGCCACTGGAAAGGCATACATGCTTCAAATGTTAATAGTTGATCCTATACCAGTTGATTTGGAAACTGTCAATTAATAAATTTAAATTGGTATGCAAACTAATATCTGTTATACAGAAATTTCCCTCTTCATATTGTGCTGGATAGTCAAATATTAACTTGTATTTATGAACAAGTGTCGCAAGCAATCTTGGCATATTGCCAATCTAAGCCCCCGTTTGTTTCTCATTATTTAGTCATTAAAATGAAAAATATGACCGTTATCCCTCGCATCAAGCCATCATATTTGAATTTCTATCTCTTGTATGAGGTCCCTAACGACTATATTTTTCATTCTCATTCTTACATTAATGGAAAACAAACGGGTCCTAAATTATAAAACTGGTGACAAACTTCTGCAAATGATGCTATGTATCATAACTAGTGTTTAGCTCTAATCTAGGTGGCACTAAACCTGTCAAGTGTCCAATGAATGAAAATGAGTCCCACCCTGTTAGACAATGAAGTGGTCACATAGACTGGTGTGCTAAGCACCAATGGTGGTGCATAACATCTACTCATCTTCTATAGGCCCAAGTATAATAACAGTATAATTTAGAACCAGTGTTATTTTTTAAACTATTTTCATTTAATACACAAATGATGATTTTCCATTTTACTTGTTCTCTGTGCTTAATTATTTGATCAACTTTTTCTTTATGCCTTTTAATTTCTACACTAACTAGACATAATTGTTCTAATGTACCTCTTTCCGAGTTAGAATATAATCATGTTATTTCTCTATAGCATAGAGTACTAATATAAATAAGAGCCTGTTTGAGCCCCATATTTAAAGAATAATACATTTTGGAATAGTACATTGATAAAAAACGCGTGTGTTGGAACAAGGATCGTTTTCGAAACAACGAAAAATCGCAAAGGACTAAGATCAAAAAGTAAATCTGAACTTAAAGCAGTAAGAACACAAAGCGATTTTTCGGCCGAAGCCCCGAGGTTCAGCGATTGGTTAGATCGCCTAGTCCCCGTTGAGCATCCACGAAGGAATAAGCTCGAATCCACTAAATCAAACGGCCAAATACAGCAAAAGTGTCAAGAACACACCGGAACACAAAGTTCCAATCACAACACCATAAATCTCTCAGTCCATAAACGAACTCACACAAGAGTTCAAAAATTAACTCTCACTCAAAGATCTACAAACAGATCAAAAGAGAGAATCTCCAAATTACAGAGAGAACACGAAGAATAAAGGAAACTGCTGCCCAGAGAGAAAAATGAAAAAGTGTGTGTTCCAAAAATCTCAAACCCTAGTAACAATAATAATTGATCCACACAAGTCAGATCCAACGGTTCATATTGCACCACGTGTCGCAGATCAGGGGTAAGTTGCTATTTCAATTCATAAAACACGCTTTTATTATTTAACAACCAATTCCAGATCCTTCTCACTGTTGGGCTTGAACCGGGTCAGGTAAGTTGGGCTGGACCATCACACAGATAAAACAGCAACCCAATAACACTAACAGCGTGATTAAAAAATAAGAAAAAGTTTTGGATCTGCTTGAATATTATTTTATTGAAGAATGTGTGATTGAAAAGAAGAAAGAGAAATATATATATATTTGGAAATAATGAGGATCAAATAAGGAACCACTGGTAAATTGTCATGTCATAAATGAACCAAAATTCAGCTTGTCAATATTTCCAGTAGTCTCGAATATGTCTTCAATTTAGTTTCATCTATCCATTCATCATTAAAGAAAAATAAACATGAAATAAAAACCAATATAAATTGTTTAAAGCATATGTACAAATGATTTAAATGTTTTGGGAATTAAAACAATACTGTTAAAGAGTACTTAATCTTTAGAAGAATATCTTTCAATTGGAAAATATTACAGCACGACGAAACTCCAATAGAAATTGCATAATATAGAATGTTTGTTCAGAAAGTAGTGATTGGATTATAAATATTTTATAGAATATCTCGTGTTTATTAACTGTGCTCATGAACTCATTCTGCTGCAAATCTGAAAAATCGAACAGAAATGGAGAAACTTGGAAAGGAGATGGTTGGACAGTGTAGAGGATTGCCGTTAGCCATCAGAAAATAGGTATTTTATTACCTTTATCGATGACTTTTCTAGATATACATATGTGTATTTAATGAAACATAAACATGAAGCATTTAACATGTTTAAGATTTATAAGAATGAAGTTGAAAATCATCTAGGAAAGAAAATAAAAACCTGAAGGAGTGATAGAGGTGGTGAATACTTTTCTAGTGATTTTAATTTATTTTGTGAACAACATGGCATAATTCATCAATGTTCTGCACCAAGGACCCCCGAACAAAATGGTTTGGCTGAAAGAAAGAATAGAACATTAGTAGAAATGATTAATGCTATGCTTATATTTGCTAAGTCACCTTTTAACTTATGGGGTGAAGATTTATTAAGTGCATGTAGGATACTTAATAGGATTCCTTCAAATCATACTAAGGTTTCTCCTTATCAATTATGGAAAGGAAGAAAACCAAACATTGGATACTTCAAAGTGGGGGGGTGTCTTGTCTATTGCAAGAACACGAACCCTAATAGAAACAAATTAGGTCCAAGAGGCATTAAATGTGCTTTTATTGGATATGCTAACAATAGCAAATCTTATAGATTGTTAAATTTGGAGACCAATGTGATTATTGAATCAAGTGATGTAGAGTTCTTTGAAAATTCGTTAACCTCGACTAACGAATTAAGGGAAAACCTTGTAAATATCCCAAGTTCAAGTGGAACACGGGATGAAATATCTTCTAAAGATATTAATGAATCTAATGAACCACGAAGAAGCAAAAGAACTCGAGTTAAGAAGTCTTTAGGACCGGATGAAATTGATTCTCAACTTATCTCATTTTACTTAGTAGAAGGAAATGAGTTGAATGTTGTAAGAACAATTCCTTTTGTTCTACAAGTGGAAACCGATCCTAAAACTTATAAAGAAGCTATGGTTTCTCGAGATAGCATGTTTTGGAAAGATGCAATCAAGGATGAAATGGATTCAATAATGTCAAATAAAACTTGAGAACTTGTCGATCTACCACCCGGATCCAAACCTATTGGTTGTAAATGGGTATTTAGGAGAAAATACAATGTTGATGGTTCTCTAAATACTTTCAAAGCTAGACTTGTAGCCAAAGGTTATCGACAAAAGGAAGGAATTGACTATTTTGACACTTATGCACC